CCCCCGCCCCCCAAAATCTTCTCTCTCATCCCACATTTGAAAAATCACCAAAAATCACCATACTTACAATTGCCTTCCAGGGACATCTAAGAAGCTCACATATAACTGATGTTTGTGCTGACTTTGCATTATTTTTCTTACCTTTCCTTTAAAACAGATCCTTCTCTTAATTTTTCCTTTCCCACTCAATATTTCAAACATCTGCTTTTAATTTTTTATGGTTCCATAAGCAGTAATTAATGTGCAATGCAAACACAGAATTATTCTACGTTTGAAGAGGGAAGAATAAATCAGGTTATACTGATGTGTAGGTGACAACTTCATTAAGAATTTACAAGATTCTTCTTTTTGTGGATAGGTGATAGATGGGATTATTGTAGGCAGATAAACATTTACCAGGAATATTCCAAACACAGATATGCAAAAACATTTGGTCTTTTCTCAATATGTAAAACTGAAAATTACAATTAGTCAAGTCTGTGTAAATTTAATTTAAAAATCATTGGCAAAATAACTATTATCGATGGTGGTTTTTGAAGATTCAAATTATTAGAATCTTCAAAAACATCTAGCTTAGGAAAGATGTTATTTAGAGAGGGCTTAAAAGGGAATTAGCCAGTTTCCAATATTTGGAAGATAAATAAGGAACTAAATTGTATTTATTTTACTCATTTGAAATAAGTTAAATACTCACTTCTGCTTTTAATAAAGCCAAAGGTTTTCATTTGCCCTTGCTGATACAGAATTAGAAAGACAAGTGACTGAAGAGTTGAGAAATCAGAGAATGAATTGGCAACAAACATGAGGGGAAAAAAAGCAGACAGACCAAACCAGCAGATTTATTAATATTACAATATTCTAGTATAGAATAAGAATATTAGAAAAATCTGTACAATAAAGGCAGTTGGACAAATAAAACCTGTCCCATCAGCTACCCAGCTCTTGTTTTGATCACAAAATGATGACTATGATGGACATGAAGCACTGAGGTAAAGAAAAGGCTGATGCAGGAAAAGCTGTGTAAACCCCTGAAACTGCTGCAGAAAAAGGTAGCTGTCTGAAAGCTGATGCTATGCACCTGATAGACATGAAGGGCCAAGCACTAAGGATCAGAGAAGGAAGATGCTCCTGGGATCACCTTTCAGTGAAGTAATTTCATCAAGGCCTACCAAGCGTAATTTTGATATACCTGAAATACTGTTTGAGTCAAATACCAAACAATATTCTTTAAAATAATATTGGGGAGGTGGTGTCGTGGTTTAATAGTAGTAAATATTTAGTGACAAGGAACAATATTTGGAGGGGAAAACAAGTTATGTATATATGCATATCAGAAAATGTCCTCAGTCCTGGAACGTCTTAGTCTGGAATGGACATCTGGAAGTCATCTCATCCATCTTGTCAAAGCAGAGCCAGGCTTGAGAAGTTTGTTCCTCATTATGACATCATCATGTTTTTCTATATACATCTTTATCTCAGTTCTAACACTGTCACCTGGGAAAACACAATGTCATTGTGGAAGTTTCCCAGTTCTCATTTTGAAATTCTTTGGAAGACAGGTCACTATTTTTATCCTCAGAAAAAAAAAGGAAGATTTGAATTTGAGAAACACATTATTAAATTTGCTTGACAAATAGGATATATAACAACTTATCCATAAATAGATATATCTAAACAAGAATTGTGATTCATTATTTGTAGTTGAAATATTCATGTCAGTTACTATTAAATAAAATCTGTACTCTTAGGCTAAATTTGGACTGAATGAAGAAAATTTTTCTGAACACTTGAAGTTTTCATTTTTCATTCAAAATAGATGGTGTCAAATCTTGACTTTACTAGCTATACCAAACTGCTACAGATCAAGTTATAAATGCTTAATTTATGTAATTGGGGTGCCAAACATCCTATCTAACACAAAATGTATAAGTGCTAAGAACTTACATCTCCTGTTATCAGACATTATCAAACTGAATGAAAAGTCAATGACATTAACGCAATCCTTCCACTTTCCCTAAACATACCTAATGTTGGTGCATGTTAGATAAAGTATTTAATTGCATGTTGCTCACTAATGTTTAAGAAAATAATGAAGACATTTTGGTATACTAAAAAACCATTAATTTTTATGTATGCATTGTACTTTTATATCTTACTTTCCAAAGTTCTAAGAAATGTCCCTCTTGGATCTTACTATAGGTGCTTTTAAAAAAGTAATTGAACATTTTGGAAGGCTTGATATTGTGGTTAATAATGCTGGAGTGAACAATGAGAAGGACTGGGAAAGCACTATACAAATTAACTTGGTAAGCATTATCTCTTTTGTCCTGTCTATATTTCAGTATTTAATGTTGGAATACAGTTAACAGCCTGTGGCTTGTACAGATTTTGCCAGATGACAGAACTTTAATTATTGGATTGGTAAGTACAGCTATTGAAACAATCACCACATAACTGAGTGTGTGATGGGTCCCTGAAATTGTCTATCCAAGACATACAGCACTGTGTAGAGGTGCTCAGATTATCTATCACCAGACAACATTCCTTTCCTAGAAAATCTAATTATTTCCACTACAGGTGTAAGAATTGACTGCCCAAGGTAGTAGAGCTGTATCTACAGTAGGCCAGCCTATTTATATGAATGTTTTAGAACTTTTTAGTTACTTGTGAGGCTCAGCTGGCCTGCATTTGAGTTGCCATTTGTTGATGCTACAAGTAAATTTGTTCAGCCAAGACCTCCACACTTTCCTCACTACACATGGGAGCATAAAAATCTGAGTTTTAATATAGGCCACTGCACCATCATCACTGGTAGGAGCACACTACTTAAGGACACTTAGTCCCTAAAATCCAGTACATTCAACAAACCTGTAAAATTAATTTTCAAACAAACTGTTGCCACTTATTTGATATTATCTGGTATCTCATCAGATGAAACCACAATATCTGTTTCTCAACTGAAAAGTTTTTAATTTCAAGTACACTTGTAGGACATCAACGCTCCAAGGAATGACCTTTATAGCATTAATAGAATTTCTAGGTTAATGAAATTCAGCTTGTAATCTACCATCTGTGAAGTCCTAATTCAATGGTCAAATCACCCTATGATCTTACTTACTGCAAAGGAAGTAGTAAAAGGAAGCTTTGAAGAGTAAAATGTAGAGTTTTGTCATTTGAAACTTGTTGTGCAGCAAGAAAGCTCTGAATATGAAAATTAGGTGTGTTTTTGTCAAAAATTTTAAGGACAAAGACACCCATCTTTGAATCCTAATGCCTCCAAAAAAAGAAACGAACAAAATAACTCCAGGACAAATAACACAAGCTGTATATGAGAAAAGTTACAGAAAAATTAATGTGAAAATTGGTATATGAAAAAAAAAATTGTTTCGTAATTCTTTGTCTTGATTTTTTTATATCTATTCCTTACGTATTGTCACGATTTAAGAACATCTATTGCTTTCTCTTTATTTAATTTCTAAAATGTTCCAAAAAGTTAAACATTAGGAAACTTTATATTGTGAAGTAACAGTAGTTTGTCATCCTCAGCAATAGGAAACATCTGTTATCTCTTAGTACAGATCCATTGAATGTAAAAGAAGACTGCATTTTAGATGACTTATTTATCTTTACTTTTTTGCCTGGTTTTAACACAAGATATAAGTTAATGTAGGCAGCCATCCACCTGTCAAATTTGCAAGCACAGATAATTAGTCATCACTGGAAATACTGAAGTGCATGTGAGTGATATGTTTGACTGTGATGCTTGCTGTCAAGGTAAATATCCTCACTTAGAGTGATAATTTTTCAATGTCAAGAGCTTCAAACAAAAGATGTTGAGTACCTCCTCATACTACATTGCAGAAGACACCAAGTTGGGTGGGGGTTTGATCTGCTGAGGGGCCAGAAGGCTCTGAAGATCTGAACAGGCTGGATTGATGGGCCAAGGCCAATTGTCTGAGCTGCAATAAGGTGAAGTGCTGAGTCCTGCACTTTGGTCACAACAACACCACGCATCGCTGCAGGCTTGGGGCAGAGTGGCTGAAAAGGTGCCCATTGGGAAATGACCCGGGGGTGCAGGTCAACAGCAGCTGAACATGAGCCAGCAACGCGCAGGTGGTCAGGAAGACCAGTGGCATCCTGGCCTGTATCAGCAATGGTGTGGCCAGTGGGACCAGGGCAGGGATTGTCTCTCTGTGCTCAGCACTGGTGAGACTGCACCTGAAATCCCATGTTCAGTTTTGGGCCCCTCACTGCAAGAAAGGCATTGAGGTGCTGGAGCGTGCCCAGAAAAGGGCAACAAAGTAGTGAAGGGTCTTCTAAGGAGCAGCTGAGAAAGATGGGGTTGTTTAACCTTGAGAAAAGGAGGCTCAGAGGAGCCTTATCACCCTCTACAATCATCTGAATGGAGGTTGTAATGAGGAGGGGGACAGCCTCCTCTTCCAGGTAAGAAGTGATAGGACTAGAGAAAATGGTCAGAAGTGCTGGGGGAGGTTTAGATGGGATATGAGGAGAGATTTAATCACCAAAAGGGTTATCAAGCACTGGAACAGGCTGCCCAGTGAAGTGGCTGACTCACCATCCCTGGAGGTATTTAAAAGGCCTAAAAGTGGTGCTTGGGGTTATGGTTTAGTGGTGGATTTGGCAGTGCTGGGCTAAGAGTTGTGTTTGATGATTTTAAAGGTCTTTTCCAATCTAAACAATTCCATTATTCTATTTTTCTTTTTTCTCATTATAAGTAATTGAGCAGAAGCAGACCATAAGTGGTCTCAAGTAGCAGAAAATTTGAAATCCAAGTCTTAGAAACCTACATGCTTAACTATCATGTTAGTCCCCTATTTTTTTTTTTCTAAGGGAATATTATGTAGTCCATACATTATTATATATGTAAATTCACCATAAATGTCCTAATGACCTAATACACAGTTGAATGTTGAAAATTTTCATAAATATATGGTGGTGACTGAGAGAAGATGTAAAATGATCAGAGTAGAAGTACAGTTATGTGGGTTAAATCAAAGCCGCTCTAAGATCCAAATATCTCCATTCACCCATTGATTTGATTATTCTTTCCCTTTCTAACACTGAGTCAACTAACTAGCTTATCTCCATAAGCACTTCTATCTAGTTACCGTAATTTCTGTAAAACAAGATATAACACTTTGTACTTCTTTTTGGTTTTTTTAATTATTACCAAAAAAAAAAAAAAAATCTGGTGCATGGAATATCTTCTATGGGTTGGTTCTATAAAATGTTTTTCTTTCTTGTAGAAAGGAGCAAAATATATATGAAATACATTCTTTTAAAATGTCTAGATTTCCATCTTGTAGGATACTTTAAATATTCTTTGTTTTGTTCCTAAGAACAGAAATAGCTGCTATAGCCACACAGTGTGACACACATTATGCATATATTTTTTTATTTCAAAAGGGAAAAACAAAATCTACATGCCAGTCGTTGTCTTAGTGATTTAATTTATATATTGGTATAACAAATATTCCCTGCCCCAGTTTAAAGTACAAAGTACAAAAGTGGAGCAGTACAGAGCAAGATAAATCAGAACAAACACATCTGGGGTGTGTTCTTTATGGCTAAAACAGTTCACGGAACCGGTTGGTCTTCGGAACATTTTTATAGGAGTGTAAGGGAGTTTTCTGATAGTACTGCTTGAGAAGGCATGAAGAAGAAAGGTTCAAAAAGTGGGACTTAATTTGGAAGGAAAATGGAGTAAAATGCAATTCCTACCGGGTCCGTTACAGTTTCCTGAGAGCAAGAAAAGACAACTTGGTAAAGCCGGGGAGGGGGTGTAGGAGGGAGTACTGACTACTAAAATGATATTTCTATTGCAGTGCTTTCCACCATTTTGCTACATTTTGTGCTAAACCTCCGTATTTTCATTACTTTATTAATACATCTATTTTTTTAAAGTATTCCAGCAATGCCATCTATTCCTCACCTCAAAACTCCAAATCTCATGGTGTTTATTGATTGATATCATGGTGTTTACTTGATCGGTATCAGCTTGATCATCAGAGGATTCAACAAGTGATACTCATACAAGGGTACACTCTTGTTATTATGGCACATAAAAAAATGAACTTGGCAACCATACAGGAATTCCATTTTAAAGAGCTATTACTAGTGTAGTTTCAGCCGTCTGTCACACACGCATATTTGTGCAGAGAGTAGCATAAGAGTGTGTGACACATAAATTCTTATTAAGGGCCCTACCTACAATCCTCCATCATGACAGTGTTTATTGCATTCATAAAAATTTTTACCTAAGGGGTCCAGAAACTCTATAATCTGACTTTTTTTATTCTTCAAATCCCTAAAACAAAAAAAGGCCCCATGTCTTTATGAGCCTTGAACATGTATGTTGTTTAAACACAACTGGGTGTTACAAGAAGCTTCAATAATTTTATCTTATGTTGATGTGGCTTTCTGGAACCACTGTAATTAAAGTGGCCACTATAATTACAGTGTCTTTTGTCATTACAAATGCACTTAGCACACTTGATACTAAAGACAATCCCCCCAAATTACCCACAGGGTCTCTTTTTATGCTCATGTCAGAGGTTTCTGAAAACTGACATAGGTTGCAGTATACAGTTAAATGTAGCAGTACTGGTATCACCCATGCTTACATTTTAAATATTACCTGAATCAAAAGTTTAGAAGTACTTTATGTGGCATTTTGACCACCTTTCAGTTTTATTATGACAAAAAATTCATTTTGTATATATATTTAAACCAATTCCCCAAATCAAATTATGAAAAAATTTGAAAGTAAACTCACAACCATCTCCTGTTTATGTGATAATGTTGCAGTTTTAACACATTCTGGCAATACTTTAAATTTCAGGCCAGAACCTGGGCACATCAAAACATCCCAATCATATGGGATTCAATTATTTAAGCGTTGTCCAGAAGTAAGTAGAATTCAAACGCACACATAAAGTTTCTTCAGGTCTTATTCTTCATTACTTGGCAAAATGTAGAAATATGCAACAATTCCAAATTTTTACATTTTTCACGAGTTTGCACAATTTATTTCCATAAGTGACAGAAGTAAAAAATTTCCATGAATTTAGAAAAGTCCTTTACTAAAACGAAGTCTACCAACATCATGGTTTGTCCCTGCAAAATACTTAAATTGGAACTACAGAGAAGATAATGCACCACTGTATATTTATGTGTGACTCCTTTCAATATGGCTCATGGTTCCAGAAACTAGCATACCTTACAAAATCATTGTTTGCTTATCAGTAAGGGCCTATTTCTCAGAAGGCCAATTAATGTTTCAGCA